AGGCGAGTAACAAGCGCACATGACGAAGGTGACTCTGAAATCTCGTGAGACATGATCCACGCGACTTGGAATTCTTGCGTCACTAGGCACGTGATTTCACCGTGCCTCTTGTAGTAAAATTCAAGAATTGCGCTCATGCTTTCAGTCACTTTTGCATCAACAGTCGCACAAAAAATTATTGGTGGCGCAAGGAGAAGCTTGTCGTTTGGAGTGACAAGTGATCACCGCTGCTTTTCCTTGTCAGAGCCAACAATACACTTTGTTCTGCGGCCTTGGGAGTAGTGTTGGAGTAGAAATTGCTGAGGAGACGTCGCGGAGGGGCGAGCTTTCCTGCGCAGGTATGACTTTGGCCGTATTTCAGCATGGTCGAGTGGAAAAATTCAAAAAAGTTTATTTCAAGAAAACCCCAAAAGGAAGATGGGGGACATGTCCTCAGCGCTAGAAGAGGTGTTCTACTATCTGCCGGTGTATAGTTCTGGCCAATTGAGGACGTAGCTGGCTGTTTTGCCAGCGCTTGTAAATTGGCTATTTTCAAGACGATCATTTGTGGCGTCAGGGGGTGATGGACCTCGTCTTCTGGGATCCTGGCGTGGCTAAGCGGTACCGCTCCAGGAACTCTTCTAAGGTGAGGCAATGTTGGCTTGATGGAGTTTTGTTCATAGCTTGTTCGTATACGCTGTGGCGTGACTCGTTTCTAGACCCATAAATAATGTGATATTTCGGCCATTTCTGAGGGGTATCCAAATTTCAAGGTTCCCTTCAGAAACTTTTTCAAGGGCTTTGCACGATCGATCCACACCCCAAAGGGAACCTACCTTCAAATTTTGAGCGAAATCGGAGAGATCCACTTGCACACATACTTTGGTATTCTCAGACATGCTCTCTTAAATAATAATAATAATTATTATTATTAAAAAGCTTACGCGGAGATAAAAATGTAATGAACGCAATAAATAGAGTAAGCTGTGCACTCAGTACAAACACCATTAGCAACACTAGTTTTCATGTATAGAGGCTTGTTCCTTGAACGTTTTCGTGGCCATCTCATCAGAAGGATTACTGGCAAATCAAAATTAATTCAAAACTCAATATATATACTCACAATGCAAGTAATAATTTAGACCCTATCTAGCGAGAACACGGGTTGGAGCGAAGGAAGTGTCTTCCGAGGCCACTCCGGTGTACCTTCGTTTGCCTTGGAAGGGTGAAGCTGTTTGCCGTACCATGCAACGTCAAGTCAACTGTAGAATCGAACTTTCGTAATGTTAGCGTCCGGTTTGTCTACGCAACATCTCGTGCCTTCATGGTGAATAAGGATGTCCTACCCACTCTTAAACTATCACTCTAATCTTATTTACAACTTTGAGTGCCGGCAATGTGAGAGCCGGTATGTGGGTAGGACTCTTCAGCACCTGGAGGCACGGATCCACCAGCATGTGCCTCTTCACGTTATGCCTGTTGAGGCAAGGTCGTCGAGGCCTAAACGAGGACGTCCCCCAAAGAATGGTACTGAGACTGGAGGTGCACCCTCGCTGGGGACGGAACCAACTGCGTTGTTGTTGTCTTCTTCGTCGTCATCGGCTTGTTTGTCATTGCCTTCGTCTTTACCGCCTCTTATTTCTATCCCGTCATCATCGTTGGCATATTCGGTTTCGTCTTCTTTGACTTCCTCGTTACCGTCATCCGTTCAACCTCCGGTGACAGAAAGCGTGGTGGACCGCCAAAGAAACCACCGGATGGTGTGTCTGCAGGACCAGTGACTCGCACTAGGACGAGGTTGCCAGAGTCACTATCGTCTTCGTCGTTGTCGTCACTGTCAGCATCCTCATTATCCTCCTCCTCATCATCATCATCCTCATCAACATCAACAGCCATTGGAACGTCAAAGGGAGCATCATCGCAGCAGGCAGTGCCATTAACGGACGTGTCTTCGGTAATAACATCTACATCAGCCTCGTCTGGAATGGCAGTAGCAGTAAGGAATAGAGAGGTTTTGCAGAGCGAATGCTCGCAATGATTTTCGCGTTCCGGGTTGCGAAAACTATTGGGAACGTTCGCGCGAAATTTGTGTTTTGACTGTTTTCCCTCCAAGAAATTTTCGCGTGCACTCGCTTGTTTAAGAAGTGGTCTTCATCAGATATTTGTTGTTGCGAGTGGAAGCACCCTGAGTCACGGCATGAGACGAGAGCTCTTTGACAACCTTGTCCATTGCCGGAGACCCACAGACAAACGGGTTGGCTTGTGCCGTAATCTGGCGCATCAACACCTGAAATTCAAAAAAGGCATCGTTGATGTAACCGACTCTGAGCAGTGGGAAGACGAGCAGGCAGGAGATTGGAGATGGTTCCGGAGATGAAGCAACACTGCCTGCCACAAGTATAGGAAAGCTAGCACCCACGGACCAAGCCAAGAGTAGAGATCAAGCACAACCATGAGGATTGAGGGTGGCTCACCGTGCACGAACAGTCCACAAAGAGCAAAAATTACTGCGAAAGTTTGCATGTTTCTCTCTCCAAGAATTTTTGGTGTACGCTCGCTTGTTTTTGAGAAGTGGTCTCCATCCGATTATTTGTTTGTTGCGAGTGGCGGCACGCGAACCAGGTACCCTGAGTCACAGCCTGAGACGAGAGCTCTTTGACTACGTTGTCCATGGCCAGAGACCCACAGACAAACGGGCCAGGTTGGCTTGTGCCATAATCATGCGCATCAACACCTGAGATTCAAAAAGGCATCATTAATGTAACCAACTCTGAGCAGTGAGAAGACGAGCAAGCAGGAGATCGGAGATGGTTCTGGAGATGAAGCAACATGGGCTGCCACAAGTATCGGAAAGCTAGCACTCGCGGACCAAGCCAAGAGTAGAGATCAAGCACAGACATGAAGATTGAGGGTCGCTTACTCACGGCCGTTCAGCCGCGGCCATCTAATAACATGGCGGCGATTTTACTAATAAATCGCACATTTGTTCTTTACACGTTCGATTTATGAAATTAGCATGGTTTCAGGTGGATCCTTTCGAATCAAGTAGAATCAAGTAGGTGACCTTAGGTAAATCGAGGTTTGGGAGTCCCGACCGAACGTGAAGTGCATGCAGCGCAGCAGGACAGATAATAGTAAAATAAAATATTGCAACAGGACAAGGTGGAGGGCGAAGAAGAACCGACTTGAAAAGAGCCGGAGAGTCACTGATTACTGACATGACCATGGAATGAAGAGAAGGATCGCGATGGCTACCGCTTTCCTCGATGCCTTAGCTGCGGCGACTGGGTGGCCTGGACCCGGTCAGCGTTCTTGTTAGGTGCTTCGAAATGTTTCATGGGCGCAGGAATCTGCCAGAAACGCTTCTCCAGAGAGTTGAATTCCGCATGGATGCTCTCTTAGCCTTGCTCAGCGAGCAAACCAAGGCCAACACAGAGTCGGATCCTAGCTGGCACGGCGTGCATCTCTAAAGGTGCAGCTATTAGGGGTGACATGCCATTTGCTTCTCTTCACGATCTTGTCTCGTACGATCGTACGAGCTTATGAAATGTTCGATGTTTCATGTTGCAGCTGAGCTTTGCTGAGTCCTCAGAGTACAATGGAACTGAAGAAGCAGTGCAAGTGTGAGTCAGCTACCTGATAATGAAGACAAAGGGAATGAGCAGGAGTGAGCAACTGTCTGTCATCTGAAATTCTCAGTCCAGTCACACAAATTGTGACAATGTCACTCCTGCTTAGTTTGGTTGCACATAACCTCTGAATTGTGGCCAATGACAACTTGCTCATAGCCTTGCCGAGCTACGTAGCTGAGCCGGCTTTTGGTTGTTGTGGCCTTTTGCTCGGCTGCTTCCGCGTTAGCTATGTCTTGCTGCAGTTTGGCATGTAGCATGACCCATGCCATAACTGCTGCCGCTGCCCTTGGATGCGTCAGATGCTTCACTGATCAAGCTCTTATTAGCTGGCAGACCTCACCCAGCACTGATCCATCATACATCCAGGAATAAATCCCCAGGTCTAGATGCAACACTGGCACAAGTTAGCCCAGTGCAAGGTCGTTTCCACAAGGAGTCTGACACAGGACATAACGCAGTCCTGTACTGAACTTTAAACAGTGCCTTTCTCCAATGTTGAGTTTCTGTCATGCACTACGTATGTGCTCATTTCCCTGTTCTTATTGCTGTGCATTTGTTGTGCGTTGATGCTTCGAAACGGTAATGGCACATTGCTATCCATGTTATGCGCGCTTGTGTGTGTATTTGGTTGTGTGTGTGTGTGTGTGTGTGTGCACAGCCACGGCTATGAGTGGCTACGGCAGCAAGGGGGCAGTGATGGCTGCTGCTGTTGATGCCTCGCGAGAGCGTTTTGCCGGTGGATAGTTTACGGCGTCGTCGGAGCTTGAGTCGGAGCTGTCGACACCTGCCGCTTCCGCTGAGGATTGACCGAAGAAGTCGTCGTCCAGATCCTGCAACTCCGCGAAGCTGGCATCGTCCAGACCGACTGCATCGAAACTTAGTCTCCGACTGCTCATGATTGTAGTTCTCGTGACCTCTTCAAACTAATCGCCGCCACTTGAACAAAGTAACAACAAAGGTGACAAGAGTTTTTTCCGCCTTCTCGATCGACTGCACGCAAGCTCAAAATCGAATCGAATTTTCACAACTCGATTTGTTTTTCGCTCATTCCAAAATTATCAAAATTCGCTCTTAGTACGGTTTACTCAGCCGATTACTCATATGTTTAAGAGCCATTTTATCATTGTTTGGCTAAAAATTGACACTTCCAGGCTGTACGGCTGTCTACAATGTTAGTTCTAGAGGCTTACCCAGTTTCTTCATGCCACGCGGAGCACCAATGGGCATCAAATGACTATCGGTTTAGTCCCCTTTGTCCCAGCATATCTGTTAGTGGCCTTTGCCGACGTCTTTACAAATCATTCTTGGTTGAGCTTATCAACGAAATTGCACACACTGATGCCGCTCAGAACTCCCTTTCCGCACGATTTACTCACAATATACACTTACAATTCGTTCAACTTTTTGTTGTTTTCAAAAAGACCTGCAGGCAATTGGCTCAGTTGATTAAAGTCCAGGCGCCTGTAGAGACAAACCGGAGCAAACCTTCTTAAGAAATGTGAAGGGAAATCATCATCAAGGCATTGCAACTCTTGGAAACTCATCAACTGTGCAATGCAATGGTTTTGATGACATTATCATTTTGATGGAGTACATGGCTGGTGAAGACACATCTTGGCAGGACTATTCGCTTATCTCATGGACTGTTGAACCGGTGCTATTACGGTATTCTAGATGACGCCCAAGCTGTTCGACCGTACTTTTATGGGGTGACTGTACATTGTGTATGTAGAGTGTGTGCGTGAGTGCGTGCATGCGTGTGTGTGTGTGTGTGTGTGTTTGTGTGTGGGTACCAGCTAGTCCGGTTGGTGGGTACACATATGCAAGATAATGTTGGGTCTGTTGCCAACAGGCTCGACTGCTTGAAGGTGTATTTATGTATCTGCCACCTTTGTTGGTTTCAGGGTTCATATACTTTCTATTTGAAGTATACATACCTGTTGACCATGGACTGCTTCTGGCTACATTAACTCTTGTGTAATCACTGGTGCTAGTGAAGCTGATATTAGATCCACTCTGATTTAGCCACCCTCATTATTACCAAGTATTACCCTCAATGGGGGCAGTGGAAACTGCAGTTGGATCCCAGGACGGACACCCTGATTCCGTCAATCCTTTTTCTGCACCTTGCCCTCACCCGCTTACTGAGGTGTGGTGATCCCGTAAGTGAGATCATTTGCAACCTCCACCCATAGTTTGGGGATTTCAGGGGGTGTCGGCCGTCGGGCGGTTCAATAGCCAAATTGAGTCCTCTTTCCAAGATTATTTTTGAGTTCCTATCTCTCCTCTCCCGGGAAGACCCACATGACCAATTTTGGCAGTGAGCAAGTACAGTACAGTACAGTGTGTGTGTGTGTGTGTGTGTGTGCAGCAATTTTTTCCTGCGCGGTGTATCGCTGGAATTGTGGATTTGTCGTGTTGTTTGGACCTGAGTGGCCAGTCGTCGTGCGGCGATGGTGTAGTGATGTTAGCTTGCTGTGCACACTCCTCGCCGTTTCGTGAAAGTTCGTCTTGTGGAGCCCTTGTGGGACGTTCGGTGCCCACCCTCCAGTTCAAGATTGTGATTTCCTGGTTTATGAAGGCCGAAGCAGTACGCGTACAGGCGTTGAACAGAACATCATGTTCCTTTTTCAGTCGTTGCGTGTTATCCTTATAGTGGACCTACAGCAGACTGTTCATCTGGTTTGTGATATTTCTTTCCTCTGTTTGTGAGTCCTTTTCCATCAATATGGCAGCTGGTTTTGATTTCCTTTTTTTTCAATTCATTTTGCTGTACTTCCTTTTTTGTCCTTCCTTTTTTGTTTTGCGCCACTGTCCCTCACCTTGCGCTCAGTTCTCTGAGTGGAGGGCGGCGTGACCCCGCGGGGTAGCTGATTGATAGTAGTAGTAGTAGTAGTAGTAGTAGTAGTAGTAGTAGTAGTAGTAGTAGTAGTAGTAGTAGTAGTAGTAGTAGTAGTAGTAGTAGTAGTAGTAGTAGTAGTAGTAGTAGTAGTAGTAGTAGTAGTAGTAGTAGTAGTAGTAGTAGTAGTAGTAGTAGTAGTAGTAGTAGTAGTAGTAGTAGTAGTAGTAGTAGTAGTAGTAGTAGTAGTAGTAGTAGTAGTAGTAGTAGTAGTAGTAGTAGTAGTAGTAGTAGTAGTAGTAGTAGTAGTAGTAGTAGTAGTAGTAGTAGTAGTAGTAGTAGTAGTAGTAGTAGTAGTAGTAGTAGTAGTAGTAGTAGTAGTAGTAGTAGTAGTAGTAGTAGTAGTAGTAGTAGTAGTAGTAGTAGTAGTAGTAGTAGTAGTAGTAGTAGTAGTAGTAGTAGTAGTAGTAGTAGTAGTAGTAGTAGTAGTAGTAGTAGTAGTAGTAGTAGTAGTAGTAGTAGTAGTAGTAGTAGTAGTAGTAGTAGTAGTAGTAGTAGTAGTAGTAGTAGTAGTAGTAGTAGTAGTAGTAGTAGTAGTAGTAGTAGTAGTAGTAGTAGTAGTAGTAGTAGTAGTAGTAGTAGTAGTAGTAGTAGTAGTAGTAGTAGTAGTAGTAGTAGTAGTAGTAGTAGTAGTAGTAGTAGTAGTAGTAGTAGTAGTAGTAGTAGTAGTAGTAGTAGTAGTAGTAGTAGTAGTAGTAGTAGTAGTAGTAGTAGTAGTAGTAGTAGTAGTAGTAGTAGTAGTAGTAGTAGTAGTAGTAGTAGTAGTAGTAGTAGTAGTAGTAGTAGTAGTAGTAGTAGTAGTAGTAGTAGTAGTAGTAGTAGTAGTAGTAGTAGTAGTAGTAGTAGTAGTAGTAGTAGTAGTAGTAGTAGTAGTAGTAGTAGTAGTAGTAGTAGTAGTAGTAGTAGTAGTAGTAGTAGTAGTAGTAGTAGTAGTAGTAGTAGTAGTAGTAGTAGTAGTAGTAGTAGTAGTAGTAGTAGTAGTAGTAGTAGTAGTAGTAGTAGTAGTAGTAGTAGTAGTAGTAGTAGTAGTAGTAGTAGTAGTAGTAGTAGTAGTAGTAGTAGTAGTAGTAGTAGTAGTAGTAGTAGTAGTAGTAGTAGTAGTAGTAGTAGTAGTAGTAGTAGTAGTAGTAGTAGTAGTAGTAGTAGTAGTAGTAGTAGTAGTAGTAGTAGTAGTAGTAGTAGTAGTAGTAGTAGTAGTAGTAGTAGTAGTAGTAGTAGTAGTAGTAGTAGTAGTAGTAGTAGTAGTAGTAGTAGTAGTAGTAGTAGTAGTAGTAGTAGTAGTAGTAGTAGTAGTAGTAGTAGTAGTAGTAGTAGTAGTAGTAGTAGTAGTAGTAGTAGTAGTAGTAGTAGTAGTAGTAGTAGTAGTAGTAGTAGTAGTAGTAGTAGTAGTAGTAGTAGTAGTAGTAGTAGTAGTAGTAGTAGTAGTAGTAGTAGTAGTAGTAGTAGTAGTAGTAGTAGTAGTAGTAGTAGTAGTAGTAGTAGTAGTAGTAGTAGTAGTAGTAGTAGTAGTAGTAGTAGTAGTAGTAGTAGTAGTAGTAGTAGTAGTAGTAGTAGTAGTAGTAGTAGTAGTAGTAGTAGTAGTAGTAGTAGTAGTAGTAGTAGTAGTAGTAGTAGTAGTAGTAGTAGTAGTAGTAGTAGTAGTAGTAGTAGTAGTAGTAGTAGTAGTAGTAGTAGTAGTAGTAGTAGTAGTAGTAGTAGTAGTAGTAGTAGTAGTAGTAGTAGTAGTAGTAGTAGTAGTAGTAGTAGTAGTAGTAGTAGTAGTAGTAGTAGTAGTAGTAGTAGTAGTAGTTCGATTTCCAGACCCCAGTCGTCGGCCACGGACCGTTCCCGTGCGGCGTTGCACCCTGGAGCCGCGAGTTCTATGCAATCCTCTCAATCTGTTGCTGCTGCTTCATCCATGCAGCCCCTGCGTGTGGATCTGCCTGCTCTCGCGTGCTCGGAGGCGGCTTCGATTGATGCTACTGACCCACTGTCCGCAGGTGCTTCTGCTGATTGTGCTGGGGAGTCACGGGGGTTGCGTGTTGACCTCCCTCCGGTCCGTAGTTCTGAAAATGATAGTACCACGGTTCAGCTACCAACCAATATTGCCTCGGCTGCGGCCGATCCCTCCTATGCTGACCCTTCCTCGGCGTCTGTCGCCTCGGTTGCCGCCGGGCCTGTTGCTCGTGGTCGGATTTCGGTGGGTCAACTGGATAATCAATCTAGCCATGTTCCCCAGGTGGGGCGGTCGGAGTCGGGACCTGGCAGCAATCGTTCTGGTGGTCGGAGTAGTTGCGGGCCCTGGTCTGTCGGGGACGAGCGGGAGTACGACATTGTCAGGACATTGTTTGACGAAGTTGTTCACTGGAAACGAAACATATTTATGCTTCCACTTGGATCTGCAGGGCGCGAGTTTGTCATGGAGATAGCCAATATTATATCATTCTTCAACTTGGATACACCCTTGAGTGGCATAGCCTGGACAGTACTCACTATTGCCTGCCATTTGCTCCTCCAAAAGCCTCTCGGATCGTCTCGAGGTGGGGAGAACGCTACCATCCTGCGATCCAGGCTCGAGTTGTGGAAAGCAGGGAAATTGGAGGACCTACTCCTTGACGCCAGGTGTATCCAGGCTCATCTCCGGCCACGACGGGTCACCAGCGCACGCTCCGAGCGGGGTCATACCGACACTGACTTCAGCCGACACGTGTTCAGCGGCAACATCAACTCCGCCATCCGCTGCCTGTCGGAATCTAAGAGTCCGGGTGTTTTGAGACTTGACGACATCGCCGATCCGGCCACGGGGGAAACGGTCGACGATATCCTGCGGCAGAAACATCCAGCTGGGGCAGATCCAGACCCTGATGTGCTCCTGGAAGGCGAGCCCGAGCCCGTCCGTACCGTGCTATTCGCGGCCATCACCGCTGATTTAATCAAGAAGATTGCTCGCTCGATCAAGGGCTCGTCAGGTCCATCCGGGGTGGACGCTGATGGATGGCGAGCGATGCTGACCTGCTACGCGGCTGCCTCTGACCAGCTGTGTAGTGTACTTGCAGAAGCCGCACGCAGGATATGCACGGACAGTGTCGGCGGGAGGGATCTCGAGGCGTTCACTGCAGCCCGGTTGATTGCCCTCGACAAGCGTCCTGGTGTGCGTCCCATTGCAGTCGGCGAGGTCCATCGCCGCATCATCGCCAGGGCAGTCATGCGAGTGGTGGAGAGCGATGTTATGGACGTTGTTGCACCTTCCCAATTATGCGTTGGAATCCCATCCGCCTGCGAGACTTGTGTCCACGCTATGCGTGAAGGGTTCAATAACCCCAGCACGGAAGGAATCCTGTTAGTTGACGCATCAAATGCGTTCAATTCCGTCAATCGTAAGGCTGCACTCCACAACATTCGGCGTCTTTGCCCAGCACTGGCAACGTTCGCTAGCAATACCCATACGGATCGCGTGCGTTTGTTCGTGACCGGCTCTGGCGAACTACATTCAACAGAGGGCACATGTCAGGGTGACCCTCTCGCCATGGCCATTTACGCCCTGGCCATTACCCCGCTTGTCCGCCGCCTGGCTCATCTGCAC